AAGTACTAACTATTAAGTATTTACTATGTAGTTATTTCTTATTAGTTATTAATATTATTTAATTTTTAAAAACTCACTTAAGTTTAATATCCGTATTAATATTTTTAATAGTTTAATTTTAAATTATAATACAATATAACACATAATAACCGTATTGGCAAATGTAAAATAACAATGAGAGGTTTCCTTATTTATTTTTAAATTTTTTTTTTTTACATAGATTATTTTAATTTTTAAGCGTAAATACAATTTTTTAATTTTCCGAAAACTTCGGTTTTTTGGAAATGTTTTATTTTAATATTCTCCAATTTTCCACGTTTTCCGAGGCTCTGGGAAAAAAATGATTTTTTTCCTAAATTTTCTCGAATTTTTCCGGAAATTATCCGGAATTTTGATCCCTATTAATAACAAAGAAAAAGGTGTAAAAATACAGACACTACCCACTTGAGAATTTAAAAATAACAATTAACTAAGTACTATATAATACGGGTGCTAAAATGCTTATTTACTGTTTAATAAAATATTGTATACGATTATTAATATCGTATTATATTTTGACACTAAAATTATGTGCAAAACAAAAAGTTCTATCATCGGAGACTTTTACTAAACTAACAGAAAAATTAAACGTTTTCAGTTATTATACTAAATTCATATATGAACAAAACTAGGCAAACCTATGGTAAAATAGTTGATTGTTACATCCTCTTAAAATATAGACTGATTATGATATTTAGTTAGGTTTTTTGATTCGTTATTTTGGTCATATTAATTTTGGTGAATTACGATGAATTCTAGTTCGTTCACGTCTTTTCTACACCTATCCGTTAAGGCAATGTTAACATGAAATCGAACTCTTTTCCTCTGAAAATAACTATACTAAATCACTTTCATAAGAGCTAAATCAAAGTGCTATTCAAGTAATCTGGACTGATGAACTGAATGGAGAATTGAGATTTATATCGGTCTACACAAATTGGCAACACGACGACGACGACGAAAGTGGAAATACGTTTTAATTGAACTGGAGCATTGTGGGATTACTGTTTCCTCACAAATCCAATTTTATCCGAGTGCCAAATGTAATTGGATAATAGCACTACTAGCCTAGAGTAGTGTTGTAGATAATGAGAAAAGAAAAATGGGATTTATAATAAACACCATTGTTAGGAAAGTGTCGAAGTAAAATCATCTGCAGGATGCTCACACACTTTGGATGATCGAGTAGTTATTGGCCAAGTCAACATTGACGGTGATTTTTTTTTTTTTCAAAAAACATTTGGCACAACGTGAAACTGTTTCGAGGTCGTTTGCACATGACCGATCATCGCCGAGCTCCGTAAGGTCGACAAGTAGACCCTCACACCGAAATAAACTAATCCGTACAATAAATGATTAAAATTAATATCATTACGCCATAATATACGTCGAAATCAAAATAATTTATAGCAAAACACTCTTGCATGGAAAGCATATATTTGCCATATTTTACTGACTTACAATAAAGTTTGCGCCGAACGAGCTTAGAACTTTGGCCACGGTGACGCCAAAACAACGGAGTTAAGTACCACTTCAGCATGTGATGTATATAATGTATATGTACAAGCATATTATAAACATTTCGAAGTTAACTACAATAATGGAAAAAGCGGCTGAATAGAAATGTTTTCAACACGATCAATCGAAGAAAAAATAACATCGAATAACATATTATGGTACATCGATCGAATTGTATGATATCATAATTATTTTGTATAAAACAATGTAGAAACATTTTATATGCGGACATCACGTGGCTAAGGGGCATCAATGGATTAAGAAGTATAAGTTTAGTTTACTTTTACTTAATTTAATATCGTTTTATAAATACTTTTAAACTCAGTTATTTTAAATAGTTAATATTTAATTAAATCACATTTATGTATTAAATTCTAATATTTATACCCAACCTAACTTTTATACTAATGTAGTAATGTATGTTGGCACCCCTATAAAAAATAATCATTTGAAAGTAACACGCTCTATAGTGAAAGCGAAATCGTGTGAAAATAAAATTAACTTAACTACCTAGGTAGTTATTTTAAAAATATAATTAACCATCAACTTTTAAATCAGTTAAATTACATTTTTGTATTTAATTAAACCAAGTTAAAGTTGTCCATTATTAACTTGGATAGCATTGCCAAACGCGTGTGATACCGAAACGCGGAAGTTAATCGTCTTAAGGGGCGAAATATTAATTTCGCAATGTAGGTCTAAGTACTAATAATAGCAACAATGATAATATATTATCATATTATAGTTTTTGTACAATAGTATATATTATTATTAAGTGCGTCGTTTTTAGTTTTGTAGGTATTAAGGATCATGTTGGGAACTACTGCTATGCTAACTAGGTATGTTAATGGTTTTATTTTTTTTGTTGACAAAATGTTTACCAAAAATCGTTTATTAAAATTAAATAAACCATGGTTGTTTTTAAATTTCAAGAAACTACCTACAACTTAAATTAGGTATATATGTTTGCAGCAGAAGCGATGTCCTGCAGTGAAGCATCGCATTACTGCAGCTCAGAGAGACGGAGGGGGGCGGGTGCAGAGAAGGAAAAAAAACCTCAAATTTATACCTTGTCATTATTATAGTTCACAATTTCATTGTAGATAATCACACACTCACGATGATAACTGCTGGTAAACATAATATTAAAACATTGTGTACACAGCATTATACTTATAGTATCAAGATAATAAATGCGACGTGTGTCTCGGGGAGACCAGAAGTTTTTGATCGATATAACTGTTTATAGCTACGATCGAAAACTACGAACGTATACAGCGCACAAAATAACGAATATTTTATCGAAGTCAAAAACTGATACATACCTAACTTCACAAAGAGGTGCAAAAGTAATAATATTGTAATGTGTATTTACAACTTATTTATGTTTCGAGTATCTACTGTAAAAAAAAAGATATATTGTTATGGGTATGTTATTTCCGTCACGAATTAAGTCTTGAGATCTGCATAAACGTAGGTCCTTACCTATTATTTTTGTATTGCATCAAAAAAAAAAAAAAACTATATTAATTCAATACGTCATAGTAAAATTGATTAATAACAGATATAACGTTCCCATCCATTAACATGAGGGCGTTTAACCACAACGTTTGCACGTCTAGTTCAATCGCAGTCGGCCAATTTAAAAATAATAAATTCATGACGTTTTACTCGTTTCCTTTAAGTGTATTATACGGGATAGGTACCTAAACTACATTTTGACAAATACCTGTACAGGTAAGTGCATTAATGAATATAATTATGTTTGACGAGAAGAGCTCAAACTTATAATTAAATTACAAAGTAGCGTACATTCGGCAAAAACTCGATGCATAATAGGATGTGCATATTTAATGTCTGCTCTAATTTAAAAATTAAACGTCAACGTAACTAAAGTAAATTTAAATTTAAACTGAAATATTCCGACACTTTGTGTGAAATAGGATCAGATTTAATTATGTAACCTCAATATTGAATAATACATTTGGCGTACGAATTTCGAAGCTCCGGAGCATTTCACCTTTTATTTTTTTATAAATAATAATTGGTAGGTATACCTACCTTCCACATTATGAAATATTCATTTACGAGTAATTGTTGTAAAATTATTTTTTAAAGGACTGGTAGGTATAATTTTAAAATTTTCCTCCCAAGTTCCACTATAATAGAGTATTTGTCTAGTAACTCTAGTTCGTAGGTAGTTTATTACATTTTATACAAGACGTGCGTTATATAGGTATATAAAGAACACGAGTATATAATTTAATATTATAGCCTCATATAAAAATGCAATTTAATATACTTTGATAATTAGTTCTGTTACGTGGTAGTATATTAGTGTATTATATGAACTTCTCAAAGTCTCGTCATGCGTTGGAAGTGGTTATTTAATGAACATGTAATAAGCATTGAGGTAGGTACTTAACTACAACTGTTACATATTTAGCACAGAGTTTCAAATGCACCTCTGACAAATTTCGAGCAACATTGAATATCGATTTAATATTCAATAGGTATATCCCAATTCGCGGCAATCCGAGCATTGGGATATAACAGTTATAGATCCGGTAGAGTGTGATACATAGATATAGTGACGAATAAGAAATCACACTCAATTCCACCTCGTGTCGCCTTCATTAAATAATCGTGTTTTGTTTTATAATAAAAAATAATTTATTAGCCCTTACAGCTCTTATATAGTAAACATTTTACCTGTCTATAAATAATGACTCCAATTATTGGCCCTCGTCACACGATTTTCATAAAGGTAAGAAATATTCGATTACCTAATCATAATATTATCTTTTTATATTTTCCTAAATTAAAATCAGGAACTCTTGTTCTCACCCCCCAATAAGATATCATATATTATTAAGTTGGTAATAATAATGCGATGAGTTCAAAATAACAAATCAACTCAACAACATATCATGTTCAATAATATTGTCGCATACATGTTATAATTAAACCATTAACTTTACAATACTATTTAGTTATTTCACTTCAGAATAAAATTATACTTTAAACCACTTTATATTGACTTAACAATTCATAATAATATTTTTTAACTGGTGACAATATTCTTTCAAAAAATAAAAAAAAACTCATGATAAATGCCTGAAACGTTCATTTGAACACTTTCAAATATTATGCATCTTAATATAATATTATAATATCGTAAAATGATTTTCTGTTGTCATTACCCAATAAACATTATATTATTGGCATATTACGTACAAATGTACAATACATAATATTATATCAATGTATATCGTCCAACTAACGAGAGGAACTCAACTCGAACGCAGCGTAGTGATTTTAAAACGTATACCACACACCGGGCATTGGTATATACCAATAATACCTACTCAATGACGTTATTATATTATATGCATATAATAACACCATCAGGTACCTATAAAGGACGTGCGATGATTTTATACCTTTGGCCGGCACGGGCCGGTGACTGTACCCGTTGTGGTTGTCCGCGGCCGTCAGATCTTCCAGTTCTGGCTGGTTCCAAACGAGCACGTGCTTGGCGCCGGACGTCCGGTTGTTGGGGCAGCACGCGGACGAGGACGACGACGGCCCGGGACACCCACCGCCACTTCCGCCACCGACGCCACCACCGCCATTAACGCCACTTCCACCGCGGCCACAGCCACCCGAACCACCTCCGCCGCCGCCACCGTATCCAACGGGCGCCCGGCCGCCGAACGACGACTCCTCCTCCTCCTCCTCGACAACGACGTCCCGGCGGTGACGGACGGCGACATGCACGCCGGACATGAGGCCGACACCGGCCTCCTCCTCCTCGGACTCTATCCCGCGGCCGCCGCCTCCATCCCATCTGCGGCCGGACATCAGCGCGGACCGCCGCCAGACGATGGCCAGCTCCTTCCGCCGAATCCGTCACAGCGCATTGGTCATCAACCCGCCGTCGCTGTACACTGCAGCGCTGTCTATAGTATACACATCACACAATCTGTCAACATGGTCCGCACCCTTGTCTATAGACGCGGAATTGCCCAACGGCTGATACAATAATATGTGCATATGTACACACGCATTTTATAGTAACAGATCGTGGCCGTTCCGGATCAATTTGAGCCGGCCACACTTTTTTGTCGGTAGGTTTTTGTGATTTTGAAAAAAAAAATCTCTCCGCACCGCCGTGTGTTTAAACTTTAAACACCGACCATTTAACACAAACCGAACAACTCTATGTATACTTATGCGATATGCGAGTTCCTCAAACTTTTTAAATGTAACATTTTTTGTTTTCTAAAATCAGAAAGATATACCGATAAAAAACTAGTGCGTCCGCCCATTTATATTTAATAATAATATGTATGTGTGTGTAATATCAGTGCGCGCACAATAACTTCGACCGAATTTGAGTAAGTTTACTACGGACGCGCCGTCATTGAAGTCGTCTGAGAATTGACTCGACGAGGACAAATTATTATAATATGCGACGCATACAATAATTCATTTAACGAGTTCTTTGAAATAATATTGATTTTTTTAATTGTATTTTTGCACTACCTCATCCGTAAACCGCCAATCTTAAGAATTCGTAGATATATTATTACAATATATAATGACAGATTTCGTAGGAATTCGAAAAGCTACGAAATAAACTGCAGTAGAAAATGCGGTGATGAATTAATATTATATTATTTTGAGTCTTACACATTTGTTTAACTCTGATTAAATTTGCATCGTGACACAACAAGGTACTCGCTTGCCACGTATTTATTACCGCACCCTGTTTTCCAATGCGAATTCCACAACTGGGGAATGGCGACGTGCTTTCGACCACCACAATATAATATAATATAGCAGTAGTCCGATATTATGTACCTGCAGCACGATATACCTATAAAATGTACATACGTATTTAACTCTTTGGGGCCGACGTGTACTGGTTACATATTAATATTAAAGTTATACGCGCACCACACATACACACACATATTATTAATATCGAACACACAATAATAATTACAACCAATATTATACTACTGCAATACTACTAAAATAAGGCATCACATCATAATATTATCATTATCATCATAATAATATTTAAACTATGTTGTTATACGGCACAACACGAGCTGAGAATTTTTGATCGACCACAAAACGTGTACATATATTATTATAGGTATCGATAATTAATATAATATATATATAATATGTGCATTCACTACTACACTGTATGCTCATATCGCATACAAAACACACACGCTCCAGCATCATCGGGAAATTCAAATTCGCATTCTGATGTCGTTAATTATTGAGCAATATGCGATAATTGCTCAGACGGTAATTCCGCGGCGGAATTGACGATTAGAGAGCGCGTGAAACGTCGCGGTAATATTATTATTATATTATCATCATCACCATCATCATCATCATCAACGCCACCGAATCGAGTGGTTGCACATCATTGCAGCTTTTAGATTATACACGGTGCTACATTGCTACAGGGACTGAAAAATCCTATTAACCTCCTCTAATTGTAGAAATCTCCATATTCAGAAAAATTCAGAGGAAAAATTAGTATTTTTACAGTAAAAATAACATAATTTCAACTGTAATTCCACCGACAATATATTATCAAGGAGTATCGATTTATAGTATTTTTTTAAATTATAAATTATTATAAAATTCAGAAATTACAGTTGAAGATAATAAAGATTTAAGATGTGCTATACCTTAACTATGGCCCCTTAGATCTTATTAATGAAGGACCACGTGCCCCAGTAGTACAAGGGCCTGCTATCTTCCAAGAAAGTAGATCAGTGGGCCAGTCCGCCCATGTTGCATAGGTATATGGATATATGAGTTCGCGATATGGTCACAAATAGTCAAGCACGCTTAAAAATATTATTTATTATTAGTATAACCCAAATCAACTAATTTACCCATTATACACACGGCTTTTAGTTTTGATTTATCGTGAAAATATGAATTTAATGTAAAAAAAACCTCATCGAAGCCTCCTCATAATATTTCTATAATTGGGTTTTTTATAAATTTAATAGGTACCTGGGAAAATAATAGAATCGTTTTTTCCGACCAGGTGTTAAATACTTAAAGTTTGGTAAAATAACGAACACAATTATTTGCACAGAGGTAAATATAACATCATACGCGAAAATCGAATACGAGTAAGAAAAAAATCGACGCCATTTTCTATTTTTATTTCGTAACTTTTAGTTGCGTCATTTGATGTCATACTCGGTGAAAAATATAATATTTTTTTCTCAACATTTATTAAGTTGCGATGTAAGTACAATATTACAGTCTCGTTTAAATACAATTTTTTGAAAACGTAACAGCATAATAATATTATTCAGTGCATTTATTATTATAAATGTACATTCACCGTTCAACAACTGCGTTCACTCTCAGCGTATTTATATTTTGGCCGGCAACAAACTTTTGGATTGCGTGATAACGATTTTAAATTTGGTAAAATTAAATTTAAATATGACACAAAACCGTTGTTGAGTATTATACAAGTTAGACAAACAGTGATCTAATTAGGTCACATTTACTACACGGATTAGTAGTGTGCAAACTACAAATCCAATTAAATCGAATTACTTGCTCAAATATTTAACATCGTATAGGTGGGAAAACTAAAACAAAAACGCCATCGCAAATATTTAGAAGCATATATTCTCTAATATAATATTATGTCGTATACTGTATTATGTGTTAACCACGTCATAGATTAATACAAAATATTATTCTGTACCTATGGAAATTACCGAGATACGGTGGAACAGTGATATTAAATTATTTTCACTATAGGCCTTTGCTCTATCATAATATCTAAACTCAAACTTATGATCTCGAGAAAAAACTAGTTCTACTTATGGGCGTGAAAGGCCCAACCGGCCTGTAGAGAATAAAAATCCCCCTCGCCGGATGCGATTATTTGTGCACGGCACACGGCAAAGTTGACCCTTTGAGGAAATAAAAACACGTCCGAGACAAAACAAACGTTAGAGATATATTATTGTATCGTATTTCCAGCGGGGAACCCGCCCTGCAGTAGGTAGTTAACGAGGTACACGGAGTGCAACGGCGAAACGCAATTATAAATTTCACCAGTCCGACGCTTAAGAAAACAAAACAGTTCCGGGCGATACAGTGGAAGAGGGTTGTGGGGGTGGATTCGGGATAACAAAAAAAAAATAGCAAAAAAAAACCCCAAAAAACTGGATAATATATTGTGCTTGCAGGGCCGAGAGCTTTTCGACACAAAAGCGCGCGTATAGGTGTAATTAGCCATTGTCGGAGGGCGTTCAAAGCGGTTTCTCTCTCTCTCGAAAAAACTATTTTATACAATTTTATGGCTGGAACGAAATTTTATCGGATGGTGTGATATACAGGGTGATATTTTTATCATTGAACACTCATTATTTCAAAAAGTATTAATGTTTAAGAAAATATTTTTTTACATAGTTTCAAGTTGTTAAAAAACAATATTTTTATTAAAAAATTATATTTTTAAATATTTTTTATCCTTTTAATTTTTTAAGTTTTTTACTTTTTTGAATGACAACATGTAATTTTAATTTGATATTCAAAAACAGAATATTTTTCTGAGTATTTTAATACATAAAAATTGAATTTAGGGCAAGTACTTTATGAGTTATAAGTATTTAAAGTTTAGATGAGGGGAGTAGTGGACAAACATTTCGCGGGGTAACTTCGTACCACTCTACTCCGCTCGTCTAAACTTTAAATACTTATAACTCATAAACTAATTGCCCTAAATTCAATTTTTATGTATCGAAATACTCAGAAAAATATTCTGTTTTTGAATATCAAATTAAAATTACATGTTGTCATTCAAAAAAGTAAAAAAATTAAAAAATTAAAAGGATAAAAAATATTTAAAAATATAATTTTTTAATAAAAATATTGTTTTTTAACAACTTGAAACTATGTAAAAAAATATTTTCTTAAACATTAATACTTTTTGAAATAATGAGTGTTCAATGATAAAAGAATCACCCTGTATAAATATATAAGTAAAATTACCTAACGTGAGGCAAGGTCAAGAGTCGTGACGTGAGGCATACCGCCTGGTCAGTACATTAATTCGTTATAATATTGCACATTATCGCAAACAAAAGCTTTTGAAATCGGTCGGATCGTTTAACGGACAGGCGAAACTTTCGCGTGCGCCCGCCGGCGGCGGCGGCCAGGCAGCTGCCACAGTACACGGCGCGAGTTCGAACCGAAATTTGATTTCCGCTCGAGCTTTTCGGTTTCGTTATCGACCGAAATCTTTCTCTCTCTCTCTCCCTCTCTCGCCCCCCCCTCCCCTGAACTGCACCTCTGCAACCGTAAAACGCGAACGGGTTAATGTGATATTGTAACGAGAGCCATAATAACATATTATAATATAATATTATAGTTAGGTACACGCGTGGTTTCGGGGTGTTGTTTTTTTCCTTCTCCTGCGCCGTCGTTCGTTTTCTCCGTGCTCGCGTTCCAAATCGCACGATTTGCATATCAGGTATATACTTCCTCACGATCGCCGACGCATGTACCGCGGTGGTTTCGGGTATACGCGCGAGCCATGGTTATTAAATGATATATTTAAAACGCAAAATAACCGATTGCGATTAACGAGGTTGAGCGACGCGCAGCGTACCTACGACATAATGTTTTTTAACGGTGTGTGTGTCACAAAATTGTATTGTGTGTTTAGCCGTCCTGTGCAAAGATTTATAACCTTGAAACCGAAAAGCGCGCAGTTCAACGCCACGGACGCGGTAATCATAATGTTATATACCGGTAGTTAACATACCTATAATTATAATAATAGTCACGAC